AAAGGCATGAATTTAGTTCTTCTTTCCTCTGCTATGAATGAAATAGAAGAGTAGACTATGCTCTCTTGCCTTGATTTACAATCTATCAGAATGGATATTCTGAATTTAAAAACGTAAAGAAGGTAACGAGTAAGTACCCCACTATCGTTCCCAATAAATCGAGGTAATTCAGAGCTAATAATTGGTAGGTATTAATTAGTGCGCCCATGTCGCAACTGAATGTGACACAAGGTCAGTTTAATATGAGTTTACCGACAATACCTTTGAAAAATTGCTCAAGACTCCCTTTCACTTCCAAATTTTGTGGACGCCTTGAGGCACTTTAGAATCGACCCCAGGCCTCTCCCGAAAGAACGTCTACCTGGGTGGAGCCACGGGAGGGGGGGCTTGAGTTTAATATTATTTTCAACTTCCCCGGTAGAACGAATAGTGTCAAGTATGTATTTTAGTAGTGATTTTCTAAGCGATTTGGCACGAGGCCGAAAGTAGGGGGCACCTAGTGAGGATCGAACTCACTACTCAGTAGTAAGTGATATGGCGAGACAAGCTTGCTAACCTTTAGACCACACCGATGTACTCAGATATAATAATAGGTATCCCAAACTAAAATTTTATTTTCAGTATATAAAAACCTTTAATACGAATATAGAGAAGTTGACAAATCATAAAAAATGCTACCAAATTTTATTATTAATAAGTAAAGAGAATCTGTGGAGAGCCATGATCGCTTACGTTTTGAAAGCCACGCTTGGACAATGGGCTGCATTTTTGGAGATTGTGTCTCTTGAGGAGTATACGGTCATTGCTATGTATAGATCGCAGGTCGCAGCTGCTGGAGGACAATTTGTTAGTGCTAGTGCGCCCACCATGACAGCGCTTTCCTCCAGGAACGATCTCACCGTATGAACGTGAAAGTTTATCTGACTTTCTCGTCTATCTGTCTGTTTCTCTGTCATCAATACACGAATTAAAAACATTCATATGTAAGTAAGATTACATATACATCGGTATAGAGAGGTACTTAAGTGAGAAGAAAAAAAAAAAGAAAAAAAATCTCCCACACACAGTATAGAAGCGAGGTTTGCCAAAAGAAAGGTTTGATATTTGGGGTTGTGGAAGCGTTGGGTAGCAAAAATTATATTTCACTTCGGCAGAGACGAACACACAGACACAGCATAACGAACACACAGACATGGAGCAACGAAGACAAAAAAAAAAAAAGAGCATTCTCATTACGTACGTATTGATGTCATAATGGACACACACATACACACACACACACGCACACAAAATAGATGACTGAATTTGCAAACAGACACACGAAGACATACACTTGCATCTATGTATAAATATGTATGTACACGTGCGCTACACACCCTCACCTACATCAGTCTTTGTTTCTCTCTCTCTCTCTCTCTCTCTCTCTCTCTATATATATATATATATATATATATATATATATATATATATAATGAAAGAGAACATTGAAGTCAACACTTAGAGGCGACAGGCAGTTTCATAGTAACACGCAATCGTATTAATTTTAGTCATGAAACATCATTAAAACAGCTATTACTTACTGTTCCGTATTGATTCATATTCTTGAATTATTCAAATTCATGTATATTTACACACGCTCTATCTCTTTTATTGATTACTTTATCCCATAAATATAGCACACCTTAAGAGTATATTTCTTCATATATATATGGGATTAATAGAAATATAAAATGTGTCACTTAACTGATTGATGTTACCTTCAGCATCCCGACTCTAGAGTTTCGTAGACGGCCCACCTGCAATTGCTCCGTTCACTCGTCAGGAGGTATCAGCTGAGTGTTTAGGGTGTTTATTATCACTGGTTTTTCTTTTATGTATACATATATATTTCTAAATAGTTAATGGGTGGAGTTTTAAACCGAGATTTTTATATCTGTATTTGAAATAATCGCCCTATTTTCATTTTGGTTTTAAACAGCCTTTAAGTCTGTCGCTCTTCGGCAGGGATCGGACCGGCGTGCTTTGCCGCTCGGTTACCAAATACGTCACAGTTTGCATCTAGCATGAAACAGACTGTCGCCTCTAAGTGTTGACTTCAATGTTCACTTTTATATTTACACACGTTCTATCTCTGATATTGAGCACTTTACCCCATAAATATAGCACAATAGCGGTATTCCGTAATATATAATATATATCCTATATATATATATATATATATATATATATATATATATATATATATATATATATATATATATATATATATATATATATATATATATATATATATATATATACAGTGCTGTTCGATAAAAGTGACACCTAATTTTTTTTACTTAAAAAATTTTTCGTCTATTGTTTTGGGGGTCAAACTAATTTTTAATCTTACTAATATAAAGACCCCTTCCCGACCACCTAGTGAAAAAGTTTACTCACTTAAGGTGGTCTATCGATAATTATAATTTTGGATATAAATGAGATTTAGGGAAAAACTCTG